CAATCTGTGTTCACAGGAATTATGGATAAAGTGGGAATCTTAACTGATGAGGATGATTAGATCCTGGGAATCCATGAAATCCCAATAAATGGCCACCTCATCCCAGGGATCTGGGCACTAATCCGCTCCTGGAATACCCGGGATAGGTGGAACACGGGGAATAACCTGAGCTGGATCCCATGAGGATCAGGAATCACTCCCAGGGGATGGAGTAGGAATCACCTACAGGGAATGGATCAGGAATCACCCCCAGGGGCTGGATGAGGATCAGGAATCACCCCCAGGGGCTGGATCAGGTTTAGGATCAGGACCAGGATCAGGGATCACTCCCAGGGGCTGGATGAGGATGAGGATCAGGAATCACCCTGAGGGGCTGCCCTGTGCAAACCCAGAACCCTTCAACCCAAGCCCTGCAATTCCAGGCCCCCAGCAGGAGAAATCCCCCGGGATAACCACGGGAGCCTCTGGAACCATCCCAAGGTTCTCCAGACACAGTTTCACCCCCCTGCAGAGAATTCTTCCTTTTCCATGACCACAGTGGACTTTATTCTTTTAATTTTGGGGAGTGATTTCCAGCTGGAACTGCGACCTTGGCTCGTTTTCCCGGGGATTTCCTGGAGGGATCGATCGTTTTGGGGGGGGGTTTGGCTGCTCCGGGAATGCCGGAGCTCCCGGGATGTGACTCCCAGCAGGGCAGGCCGGGAATCCACGCCCGCAGGGAGCGTTTGACAGGTCGCCGGTGTCACCCGAGCCGAATCCCGGGGGCTCAGCCTCTGGAATATTCACCGGTCGGGGCGGTTCGGGAACTATTTGCCGTTGCCATGGAACGACAACACAACAAAGCCGCGGACACCTCCGGGGCCACGTCCTGCTCCAGCTCACCTGGGCTCAAAGGAGGGCTGAAAGGAAGGTTTAAAGAAAGGGTTTAAAGGAAGGGCTAAAAGGAAGGGCTTAAAGGAAGGGCTTAAAAGGGAATACTCCCTTTAAAGGAAGGGCTTAAAAGGGAATATTCCCCTTAAAGGGCTTAAAGGAAGGGCTTAAAAGGGAATATTTCCTTTAAGGGAAGGGCTTAAAAGGGAATATTCCCCTTAAAGAGCTTAAAGGAAGGGCTTAAAAGGGAATATTCCCCTTAAAGGGCTTAAAGGAAGGGCTTAAAAGGGAATATTCCCCTTAAAGGGCTTAAAGGAAGGACTGAAAAGGGAATATTCCCTTTAAAGGAAGGGCTTAAAAGGGAATATTCCCTTTAAGGGAAGGGCTTAAAAGGGAATATTCCCTTTAAGGGAAGGGTTTAAAAGGGAATATTCCCTTTAAAGGAAGGACTTAAAAGGGAATATTCTCCTTGCGGATTGGGGGAAGGGAGGGAAATCCAGAGGGAGCAGCAGGGAGGGGCTGAGGCCTCTCTGATCCCACCTGGATCACTCCTGGGACAGGGTGGGAGGGTTGGACTTCACCCCAAAGCAGGGGAAGCTCAGCTCCCGTGGGCTCAGCTCCCGTGGGCTCAGCTCCCCTGGGCTCAGCTCCCGTGGGCTCAGCTCCCCTGGGCTCAGCTCCCCTGGGCTCAGCTCCCGTGGGCTCAGCTCCCCTGGGCTCAGCCGGGTTCCTGGAGCTGCCCGGAGCAGCTTTGGCTTCCTGGCACTTGATCCCACAGCAGGTTGGGATTTTCCTGCCTGGATTTACTGCCTGGCTTTACTGCCTGGATTTACTGCCTCCCTTTGCCTGTCTGGCTTTACCTGCCCAGATTTACCTGCCTGGACTTACCTGCCTGGCTTTAC